TAAAAACGAATTGCAAGCAGAAACAAGGGACCTTCCACTGGCCTCTTGACGACATATGGAAGCATTTACTTTCGGGGATTCAACACATCCTTATGAACAATAAATTGTAAGGGACCAACAGTCATCACTCTTTTTTCGGCTGCTAACCTACCTACATGGTGGATGATGAGCCTCGAGTGACGTCCAGGGCCGGATTTACCTACTTGCCGCCCCCATCTCATTCGTTCTGAAACATCAATACAAACCGTCAAGTGAACGTGCTGGAGAGAGAGGAATGCATAAGACGCGTTTACTCGTGTTGGATACATTTTTTGCGGAAGCCCTGTCAACACTACTAGCAAAAATTCACGGAACTTGGCGCGAAAGTTAAGTTCCGTAAACCTGTCTCTGTGTGGACAATGCCTTCCAATAATAAGAAATGAACGAAAAATTATGAAAGAACAACCATAAATGTGCTTCAATAATTTTAACTTCCACCACCACGCCATGCTGATCGCACTCTGTTTGGCGCAATGCGTGAAGTATTCCTACACTCTTGTAGGCGCTATGCCTTTCACGCCGACCGCTGCTGAACGCACTGTGTTTGACGCAATGCGTGAAGTATTCATGCAGTCTTGTAGGCGCTACGCGTTACACGGCGACCGCTGCTGACCGCACTGTGTTTGACGCTATGCGTGGAGTATTCATGCAGTCTTGTAGGCGCTAATATGTGTTACATGCCGACCGCCGCGCCGAGGGCCTCTCCTTTTCACCTCAAGTCCTCGTCATCATTGCTCTCTGCGCCGCGCCGCTCCAGGCCAAATTGCGTGTTTGGTTACTCTCTCAACTAGACTAATGAAAGGGCAGCCAATCTTCTGACACAAAAATTTCACTGACAAAATTCAGATTCCAATGTCAGACCAAAACGGCCAGGAATGTTCATAAATGAGCGTTCTGGCCAAATTGCGTGTTTGGTTTCTCTCTTAACTCGACTAATTAAAGGTGCTGTCTTTTGTATCACCTCAAAACGACAAAAGTAGAAATTACGATACTCACAGGAAATGCAAGATTTTGTCGCCTTATCCCGTTTGCAATTTTATTTTTATACCTAAATTTAAAAAAAATTACAAAATTTGCCGCCTCCTAAATTTGCCGCCATGGGCCGCGGTCCATGCTAAGCTACGGCTACGGCACCCGGAACTTTCGGTCCATGAGCCCGGGACGGACGGAATGTTTACACAATCCGTATCTTTTTTTAGTGAAACAAAATTTAAGCCTCAACCTAAACGAAGTGACTGTCAAAAACCTCCTCAACGAGGCGGAGGGGACTGCCCAGGGACCGGGGCCCCTCCCTTATCGCGAGTTTGAATTTTGGTTTCCCCGCCGCTAACGGTTGCCCCGCGTCAATCCGTTATCTTATCTGTTCCGTTGCGTTGCATCCGAATCAGACAGGCGCGTGCCGGAGGAGCGGATACAGATTCCAGAAACACCAAAACCACACATCCTCCTCCATACGACCCCTGAACCACGTACGAACACAAACAAGTCAGGGGCCAAAACTAAAGCGGACACGTTCCCTTTTTAATAACGATGGGTTCCCCATATCCTGGGGCCCGGACGGCGACCGGGGGGAGGGGGGGGGGTCGGCGGCAAAGGAGGCCCGGACAAGACCTCAAGGAGCACCTGTCGTGCAGCAGCAGCTGCAACCGAAATCTGCGTCGTCCATACTTTTCGGGTCAATCACTTCAATTCGAAATTAATTCCATTACACAACCCGTTCCTTCGGTTTTTTTTACCCGTTATCCGCGCGCGCCGGGCGCACTCCTGCCGCGTGCCCACTGCCCCCCTCCCCCTCCCCGCGTTGTTTGATTTGTCGCCGGGTCCGAGGGCGTTTGGGCGGGAGGGGAGTGTACCTGATCGGGTATCGAGGTGGACCTCTTGAGGATGATCGGCCGGATTTTTGGCAATTTCTATGACGGAATTGTGGATTTCCCGACCGAAGCCGTGGGTTCCTAATTTTGATGGTGAGTGAAAAAAAGAAGAAACCTCTGCCTATATAATGGACATAGGTACAAAAAGACCCTCCATGAGTGTCTTGGCAACGGTGGAAGCCTCTTTTTCCGGGACTCCAACATTCAACCGTTGACCTACCTCAAGGTGGCATGAAATGTAAGAAAGAAATGAAAGATTGGAGATTTAATTGGAATAGTTCATGAAATTTCACGAGGCTGAAAAGTATTTTATATTTTTCAAGGGCTGGAGTATGCAACCCGCACTCAAACACACAAATATAGAAGAATCCATCATTTTTACATATTACGAAACATAAAAAGGAACCGGTATTTTTCAATATCTTACATTTCCTGAAATTATTTCATGAAATATTACACGTGAAATTTCAAGATTTTATTTTTCATGAAATTTTGCCACCCTATCTACTGCCTACTAGGTGAATGATTAACAACACCTGGAGTATTTCGTTTTGCATATAAACTGAGACTTGTTAGGTTCATGACGTCATTCAAAGCTCATCATCCACCTAGTGAGTATGGTTTCTCCCGTGAAAGTATCTATGAGGAAGTGTTGAATCCCCGAAAGTAAAGGTTTCCACCTGTCGCCGAGAGACTAGAGAAGGGTCTCTCTTTGTCTCTGATTATGGAACAGCAGATTTTTCGATTTAGGTATCCGATGTTCACAGACTTAGGAAATAAACTTCGATTCAAGTGAATAAAGTTTTTAATAATCCTACTGCAACCTGTCCTTCACGTTGTAAAATGCTCTCCTTATTTTGAAAGTTTGCTCTTGTTTGTAAACGTTCAGTTTGAACTTAAATCTGGAAGAATAAATGTGAGGCACTTTCGGGAGGTCGACCAAGGTCTTCAGAAACCAAGGCTAGGTTTCTTTGACTAAAAACTTTTGTTAACTGGACCAAAAACTTGAATGTGAACCGAAACTTGACCCTGGTGGACGAAATTTTTGTCTCCGTGTCCGGCTATTTTTTCCACGACTGAAAATATTTTCCCTTGAATGTTGATTTCCAAAGAAATTTTATACTTAAATTTTTATTAATATTAACTTTTCTGCACTTTCTGCCTTATTGCGAATAATATATATTCCCTTAAAGCTATGATTAATGTCAGGCGTAATAATTTTTCACACCAAACATTTTTAGCTGCTGCAAATTAATATACTTCAAAAATTACTCCTCCTAAAAGTAGTGCTGAATTTAAAACAGCAGACGGGGCCGGATTAAGGGGGTGGCCACATGGGCCGCGGCCTATGGTGGCAAATTTTGCAATTTTTTTAAAAGTAGGTATAAAAAAAAACGGATTTAGAAAAAAAAAATAACAAACGAGAAAATGCTACAAAATCTCTCATTTCCTGAGAGTATAGTAATATCTAATTTTGTCGTCTTTCAGTGATACAAGAGACAGCACCTTTAATTAGTCGAGTTAAGAGAGAAACCAAACACACAATTGGCCCTGGAACGGCGCGACTTAGGGAGAAATGATGACGAGGGCTTGAGATGAAAAGGAGAGGCCCTCAGCGCGGCAATCGGCATGTAACACATATTAAGCGCCTACAAGACTGCAAGAATACTTCACGCATTGCATCAAACACAGTGCGGTTATTGTGGTCAGCGTGAAACGGATAGCGCCTACAAGAATGCATGAATACTTCCCGCATTGCGCCAAACACAGTGCGGCCAGCGTGAAACGCATGGCGCCTACAAGACTGCGTGAATACTTCACGCATTGCGCCAAACACGGTGCGGTCGGCGCGGCGCGGCAGCGGAAGTTTAAATCATTAAATCAAATTTTGTGTTCGTTCTTTCATAATTTTTTCGTTCATCTCTTAAGAATAGGAGGCCTTGTCCATTAGAGATAGTTTTACGAGACTTAACTTTCGCGCAAAGTTCCGTGACCTTTTGCTAGGAGTGTTGACAGGGCTTTCCCAAAAAAATGTGTTCAACACGAGTAAACGCGTCTCATGCACCCCTCCCCCGCTGGCACGTTCAAATGATGGTTTTTATCAATGATTCAAAACGAATGAGAAGGGAGCGGCAAAATACAGGCGGCCCATGGACGGCAAGTAGGAAAATCCGGCCCTGACAGCAGATTTAACTTTAAACTGTACTGATATGGACATGATCAAGATTACGAAACGTACTGTCACAAAGGTTTTAAAGACTACTTTTCTTTTGAGATATTTTAGAGGAACATTTCATTGATAAAATCTGACAAATTTTACGACTTGTTTGTATCGTTGTAAAATAATGAGCAAAACCGAAATATTGAAGATTATTGATATGAAATGGACGATTAGCACTGGATTTAAGTCTCGTCAATTGATGATCACAAAGAGAAAAATTCCAGAGGAAACCGACTTATCGATTTGGAAACAAGACAGTCAAGTAAAGCGCCTTCAAATAGGGGGTAGGCTTGAAGAACGACAATCGTAAGCAAACAGTGATCTCCCTCATATTGCGTGATTAGCTCTCTCCTGCAGCACTCCTCGCTTGTTTTTCTCATTCATTCATCATGAGACAATTTCTTTAATAAAGGAAAGTGTCTACTTGTACATTGTGAATTTATAGAAAAGAATACTCTTACTTACAGTACATAAGTGTTCGATTTTAGGATGGGAGTTCGCAAAGGTTATTTTAAAGGGAGTTTTTGGAAGTTATCAAATAACCTTTTAAAGATCAAAAGAATTGCAAAGAATGAGTAGAACTGAATCTATTAAAAACATTGGTGGATGTGAATCATCAACCCGTCAACGTTAAACTCAATTCCACATGACGGACGAACAGTTTTTTTTTTTTTTTTTTTTTTTTTTGAAAATTCATCCGAATATTGATAAAAATTGTAGATTAATAATGTACTAAAATAATTTTTTTTTTTAAAAAAAAAAGATGAAAAAAGAATTCTAAATTTTATAATTGTTTTCTCTTCGACCTGTTGTACGTGTTTTTTATTTAAAGAGGGGAATTTATGGACAAGACAAAAAATACTCGGTCATATTGTTCAAAGTTTTTGAGGATAATGTTATCAATAATTTATTATTAAATATCTTTATACACGAAATAATTTACAATTGGCTGTGATCTCCGCATAACTGAGTGTCTAGTATCGTAAACAGGAGGAAAGGGCCAACATAATACCACAAAAATGCCATTTATTAGTTGACTGAATTGAATTGGTTTTGAGTTTTCAAGAAAATTTTGAATAATTGAAAAGAGAAAAGTCATTTTCAACTTGCTCGAATGCTGTTTTATCCTTTGGTTTGGCTTGACGGAAGAGCTTGTTTCAAAGGAACGGATCCATCTCAACACTTGCGTCTTACGAATCAGAATCAGTCTAATGAATTGATTTTTCGAAACAACTTCTAAATCGTGCCCAAAAAATCAGTATAGTCTCTGAAACAAAACAATAATTCATTATCAACCAAATCGTTTTCGTTAATCCAACCGAAAGGAAATTAACTCTAGGCAACTAAAACCACAGAAACTTTAACTGCGTAGGGTTTCGTGAGCTAATCAGAAGTAGTTGATGCAACTTCACCATGAGAACCATGCTAAGCTGATGCTGAGAGAGTAATCATTATCACAAATAGAGCCGTATTCAAACAGACCGACCAAGGGCGTAGCCGAAATTGCATACTGGATGTTTGAAGGCGTTCTTTCGTCGGCTAACGTTCTATTTCTGGTAAGAGGAAATTACCGTTATGATATTGCACGTGTTCACGTGTAATGTGTATTCGTGATGATGCGTAATTATTAAGGGAGCAAGCGAGGAAAAACACAAACAATAAGTCTGGTGTCTCTCTGGTCACTTAGTCGGTTTACTCATTAGAGCTCAAGAAAAAAAAATGTTTTTGGCTCATAGAAATTTTTGGAACTTTTTGGCTTTGTTTTTCCCGCGAAATGGTGTGCACCCAGCACCATTTTCAACCTTGGTAAGGGACCAAGTCAATTACTAAAACCCCCAACTACCAAAGACATTGTCATAAAAAGAGCATAATTGATGCATGAGAGGCTATACTGCGACAACGTATAAATGAATATTCATTAGAAGAGATCCAAAATATAAAAGCTTAGACCAGATAAGTATTTTAAAAAAAAGTACTAATTAATTCTCTCCAAATGCCAAAAATAAAATACAATACACCAATCTCTTTGTTAGTTGAAAAAGCTAAAACTTTCCACCTTCTTAAATTCTGTTCACTTCTCATTTTATGCATCTTGGCTGAAACTTCGGGAAGGAGGACTTTAGAATGATAGAAATGAGTCAAGAATAATTTCAAGCCGTACGCTAAATGAGTATTCTTTCAGCTAAAAAGTAAAGCATAAAAAATTCCTAGAATTCTTTAAAATATTTTAAAAAGATATCTAGAAGTTTGTTGCATCTATACTATACCGACGTAAGATGGTTTGCGGATTCCAAATTCCCAACCGAGGTTCAGGACTTTTCTCTGTGAAAACTTAAATTCGACTACATTTTGCAATTAGGAACTAGAATTTCTAGCTCATCCGTAAGGACACATATGTGCATAAGGAAACTAATGGCACATACATTCTTTCTAAACTGAGCTAGAAATTATGTAGTTCCTAATTTCAAAATGTAGTCCAATTACTGTCTCATTTATATTGCTGCAAAGTGGCCGAGGTCGTCTCTCCGACTCATTTATGAACTCCCTTTTTTCGTGAGGCTCAGAACTTTTATTTTATTTTCTAAAATAGAGTTATATTTTAAGTGATCTCCTATTAGTAATCATACATACGGTATACACCGGACTAACCCAAACAACTGAAGCGCTGGATGCAGAAAGGGCATTTCTTCGTTGCAAAGTCTCAAAATCTCCCCTAACGTTTTAACCATATTAAAGTAAATACATGTAATTTTTTGTAACTTTTACTAAATATTCTTCATGATGTCACAGTGCTAGAAACGTAAAATTTCAAAAAATTCACCCAATAGTTCCCTCTCTAAAATAAAAATTAGCACTGAGGATTCTGAAACATCGCGACGAAAAAATGCCTTTTCTGCACCCAATGCTTTCAATGTGTCGGATAATCCGCAGGTCACTACGAAAACTTTAAACTTCATAAATTTAAAAAAAAGTCAATGTAAATGCTTTAAAAACGCATAATGTTTACTTAAATTTTGATAATACGTACACGTATGTACATTATACAGATGGCTCTTAAAACTACATCTTACAATTAAGAAGGGTATTCAGGGTAACTTCCCAAAAAACCGCTGAATAAAACATTTTTGGGATAATCCAGCGTATACTGTACTAATAAAATTGTATTTGATTAATAAGTTGATTGTTTTTAAAGCGAGTAATCCAATCCCATTGTCGAATTTGCAATTCTTCACTCAATTGAAAATTGCTGCACATCAGTTGGTAATTTTAATTGTTCTTTCTATAAGTAATACTTACATGCAGACGTACGGATTAATGAGTCGAAAAGTCCATCATCCAATTTCAACTCAATGTCCGATTATCCGTTTTCACATTGACACTTCCACCGAAGGAAAATACTTTCCCCGCTTTTCCCATAATTTTCATTCGATAAAAGTCAGTCTCCGTCCGGTGGGAAATTTCGCTCCACTCGAGTCATGGCAACCATTAGATAGAGAAATAAAAGTAAAAGAGAACAAGCAAAAATACGATGAAAAGGATGACGATGAACATAAACAAGCACTGAAGGAACATACTCGAAGCGGCCAAACGTGGTTCATCCCAGAGATGGGACTAGAACACTAAATTAGAGCACTAAATGAACGATTCCGAGCAGAGGAAAATAGGACTCATGCTTAAACGGACTTCAACGACAAATGTCAACCCAATTAGATCACGTGACTGAAGTCGCTCCCCATTTTCAACGTTGTAGTGGGCCGTTCTGGACGTCATCAGACGTTTCGCATTTCCTCGTTTTCAGGACTCTAAACTCTATTTCGAGACTTCCAATTGGACGTATTTCTATCAAACGGAACTAAGCGCCATAGGGGGAGGAAGGTAGAGGGGGACTTGGATTGGTGGCAGAAACGGGCGTCGGGCTCATTCCGTCCTATACTCGCACTGCTTTTCCATAGCGCTTAGTTCCGTTTGACAGAACGCGCTATCCGGCATTCTAAATTCCTGAAAAGGAACTCAAAATGGCGCTAAGTTCCGTTTGACAGAAATAAATCCAATTGATTGAAACAATTTGATTACGTATGAAATCATGACTGTGCTGCCTTTCAAAATTTTGCTGCTTATTGCGAATAATCAGGAGGAATATTGGTGGTATTTCCGGTTAGAATTTCAAAACAGCAAGCTGATATTTTAAAATTTATAGACAAAGCTATATACAAAGCTATATACAAAGAAGACCTAGGGAATATGGAGCGATTCCACTGAATGAAGCCTTTGGTTTCTATAGACTAAGAGAGAAAATGATGGACCAACTATAGGTCCTCTCGTGGGTTGCAGTTAGTTAGTCTATTACCTACTTCCTTTGTCCATTGCAACCACCTGCTTCCACCAATAGGATCTATCCATGCCCGTTTTGTCCTCTTTGTCTACAGTTTTGTCCATCAATTTTAACAATAAGCCCGCAGTTCCCCTTGTTGCCTACATAAGCAACATTCGTACCGAGGAATGCAAACATTATATACTAGCGAAATGCCCGTGACTGGAATCACGGGTCTAGAGGCCGCTAAAATATCTATAACCCCGAAAAAATTGTGGCAGGGGAGCAAGACATGCCATAAAAAAAATGATAAAATCGATAGAAAAATGAGCTGGGGGGGAGGTAGAATAAATGCTGGCAAAAAAATTAGAACTAACCTAGCAAGGATTTATTTTTTTAAAAAAAAAATGAAAAAAAATAAAAAAGAAATTGAAATAAAACATCAGCTGATAGCAAACAAAGGTTACCAAGGAAACCAAGGAATGGAACTTTCATAAAAACAGATTAGTGAAAAACAGCGTAAGTAGGGCACTTACGTTAATTACCGTTTATAAGCAAACGGTACGTGCGATTTAACCAAAAATCTATACAGTTCTTCTTAAGACCAAAATGGACAAAATTACCAAATTTGAGTAGGCTAACGTAAATCTAACGATAGTTATCGTGAACGAAAGAATTGACGACGTAGGTCGGGTAACTATTATAGTTGGGATGGGATGGGATTCGAAAAATACACTCACTCCATAAACTTTGATGGAGTCAGTAGACCATGCGTAAATCTCTTTTGGAGATATCATCCATTACTCGCCTTCAATTTTACCTGGTAGGCAACAGGCATCATGGGAAGCCTGAATAGTTGTTCACTCAAAAAAGAAAGGAAAAAAAAATTGCCTGATAAGCTCAGATTGAAGTCAAGAACGTCTGTTAACATGTTGGCAGATATGTTTCCAGGTGTCGCGCCTTACTCACCCTTCCTTTTACACCATGTGTCTTTCTTGAGGTCCGATTCTAAATTCATGGCTATAATATTTTATCAAACCAGCAAAATAGCGATCTGAAAAACATCCGCTTGCGTAAATTACGAATTTTGAAAATTGAGTTATTAGCTTGAACGGGTACACTATTTTTATTTGTTCATCTTGGACACATTTCTTCCAATAAACTAGTTCACTAGCATTATTGATGAGCCAGGGTGAAGGAAAATCTACGTCGGATCCTGGAGCTAAACATCGTTGCTCTGCTGGCAAGAGGGCGTAACTACACTTTGAAATAGACTACATTTTGCGATTCCGAACTGAAATTTCTAGTTCAGTTTAGGAACAATGTGTGTACCATTAGTTCCTGTATACAGATCAACGCTTTTACAGATGAACCAAAAATGGCAGTGCGTTCTTTACAAAATGAAGTCCAAATGAAGCTTGTCGTTCGTATGAATTGCTAATTCGCCACCTGACCCAAGAAAAATTATATAGATTACAAGGGTGTTCACAAGGAACATTTTAATAACTGATCGATTACCGTAGCATCAAATGGGAAATATCGATAGCCGATATCCCCGCCTTGCCAATGAACGCTTAAGGCATGAAGCATGATGACAAAGTGTAAGTGTAATCCTCCCATTCTGCAATACCTCAACTATGATACCTTTTCGGGTCCGCTTTAAAGGATCTCCGAAAAAATGGAATCGAGGACTATTAAGGACCTTTCTATGACTTCCGAAAAATATTCGAAGAATTTGCAAAAAGGTTTGATGAGAAACATCTGTGATACCTTAAATGTTCGTGTCAAAGTTGTTAGGAGCAATCAGTTTCCTCAACACAGTCGGTACTTACAACGGTCGGTTTGGTTAAAACAACAATTCGTGTGAAACATTATTCGTCTTACAAACGAAACGATATAATAAAGTATGCCTGAAATATTAGAAAAAGAGGAAAGAAAAACTTAGATATCGACTAAACAGTTATAAAAAAAATCACTTCGGAACTTGTTCTGACGTCACAGACCATTCTTTTTAGTAACTATGCGTAATTTATCGTTTCCAGTATGAACGTAGAAACTGAATTTTATGATAAGTGTTATTATTTTATTCAAACCTTCATTCAGCCGTCAAAGATTATTCTCTCTAAGGCGCAACTGGCCTAGGTCTTTATCAAAAACGCTAACTTGTTTATAACCGCCTTGAAAGATTTGTTGACATGCACATTATCACATATCATGATCGAGGCCTCTTAGAAGATCAATCGGACGTATTTCTGTCAAACGGAACTATGTGCATTATGACGTGAGCTCTGTTATGCATATATTTTTATGGGTCTCAGGGCTCATGTTTTAATGCACATAGTTCCGTTTCACAGAAATACGTCCCATTTACAAGGAGGCAAAGGCGAGGCGTGAATTATTATCGATATTTCCTTATTTGAAGCTATGTTAAAAAATCGATTGTTGCGGTGTTCGTTACGAACACCCTGTTTATCGATCCTTTTCCATAGGTTTAAATGACAGATCAATCAATATATCGAAAGCACACCTCGCCACTGCAAGGAGAAGATGCTTCAAGACCGTTTCTCGATTCAGTACAACCAACCTATCACTACCCACGCCGCATTTATTCCCTAGATGGCAGGGATCTCCCAATCAGTAATGCTGGAAAAATTGCGATGTAACATGAGTAAATTGGAATGAGTTACTCGAAGCAGAGGCTCATGCTGTTAGCGCTTAATTGATTTATACGCCCCAGCAGATCAATGAAACTGGTGGCAGAAACTAGAACTAACCAGCCAGCGAGAGGTTTTGTCATTGTTCAAGGCAGAGTTGCCATTTCTACAAACGTTATCCTTTACCTTATTTATTCATGACAGCAGTTGCCAACCAAAGAGAAAACAAGAGAAGCAATTTGAATTGGGGCCGAGCGGCACCCCCTACTTATACGAGTCGTTTCTGATTGGCCGATCCGCCTGGTGCCCACTTTCTGGAGCCCTTCTGGAAAATGGGTTTCATGGGTTCAACACGGGGTTCATTTTTCATCGAAAATGTCTCGAAAACAAAGAAAAAAAATTACTTCGGAGGTTTCAAAAATCAATTTTCCAGATTTTTCTGAGGAGATTGATGGGTAATCCATGACACTTTTTCTCTAACATACCGAGCTATTCGACCTAGAATTTTGTTTTTTCAACTTGAAATCTTACTCCTACTGTCATCAAATAACTCAATTCCAGGTCAAACTGTTCGGTGTGTTAGAGGAAAAAAGCATCATGTATTACCCGTCAATCTCGACAAAATAATCTGGAAAATTGATTTCTGAAATTTCCGACGTATAGATTTTCCCTCGCCGTTTTCAAGATATTTTCAATGAAAGAGGAGCCCCGTGTGCAGTTTCAGATCCCAGGAAGAATGTCTGAATAATTGTATTCTGAACGTGAAGTTGTTTTTTGAAGTGCAGAAGCGCATTGCGTTGCACTGAAAAAAAATCTCGGTGTATTTACTAAGAAAAGGGTAAAATTACCAAGAATTCAGGGTTCTATTTGATCCCAGTTTTTTCTTGGTAAAATTACCATTTATGGAATTGGTAATTTTACCGAGAAATCTCGGTAAAATTATTGAACTTTCTCGGTAATTTTACTGGACCTTGGTAAAAATGCCAATATTTTTCATCGACTGTGGTAGAATATTACCGAGATAAAATGGCAAAGTTACCGGGAAATGATTACCAATAGAAGTAGTATTCTTACCAGAAAAAAACAGTAAAAATACCGGTTTTTAGGTAAGCTTACCAGTTTGTCTTGGTAAAATTACCAATAATTGGTAAAAAAAAAGTGAGATGGTAAAGGTACCAACGGACCTTGGTAAAAACGCTGAGAATTTTTTTTCAGTGTGGAAAAAGTTAGTTCACCAGCGGCTTATCGACCTTCGCGTCACAGCACCCGTGCAATTAAAACAAGCAGGAAGCTCCAACGCATTCGCGTCGGAGAGCGGCTCTGGCGACAGTAGTTGTAGTCAAGAATGAGGGCCTAGACACATTTTGTAACTGATGTACAATCCGACAACGGTCGATTCATGTTTTGTAACTTAGCAGATTTACGTAGCCGGTGTATAAATGTGTATTGGCCCTTGATATGCAGAATGCTTGGCACTATCACTTGTTGTATACTTTTAATTTTGAAGGCTCTTTGGAGGTCCGCATCCTAAAAAATTTCTCCCACAGTATTTTTTTTAACTTGTCGTTGTGATTGGGCGCCAATTTCTTTCAATTGAGTGATCATCTTCTTTTTTTGTCAAATAACTAGTTTGTGCAACAATAAGACTGAAACTGACTGTAACTGAAATTTTGTCTTTTTAGATATTTGGTTATTTTGTATTTAATAGATTGTATATTTTCACAGCCCTGTGATAAGAAACTTTGGAATGCATGGTTGATAAGTC